TCTTAATGATACTCATCCCCAGACTGTCCAAAAACTCACCTTGTGCTTTGAGAATAGCTGCCTTGCCCCTTCCTGCGCCAGATCCCTGGTTCTTGTTCTTCATACTCTTTAACATAGGAGCATTCTTTAACATGTCAGGTAAGATCAGGAAGCGGATCTTGCTGCCACGGATGTAGACTTGCTCCAACTGTGCCACCCGGCCATCGCGATAAGTCACTGTTATGTTGGACATCTGTAAGGAGAAGAAAAAAAACAAAACTGTTAAAGGAATCAACGTATCTTACAATCGTTTTGTAATAGTAAATGTAACTTGGGATTTTTAAGCTAAAAGCAGAAATACACTAGAAACTAAAATGAACTAATCTACAGCTTACCACAGCAGTTCAAGCATACCTGTTTACACACTGCAAGAATAACTGTTAAAGTGGTGGTTCACAACTCTACAGCTCTGCTGCTTTCATTCTTTCCATCTAATGAGGGACTGACTTACAACTTGGATTCCTTTGAAGGATTGGGAAACATGGCTGTAGCACCACCAGATGGGGGAAGCTTGCAAGTCTTGTATTAACTAGAAGTCAAGAAACGCTGTATAATGTCTCTTCTTGTTTGGTCGATCATGGTAACAAACTCACATATTTAGCCAATAGCTTTAAACGGATTCATCTTGGAAATCAGCAGATGAACAACACACACAATCAAATGTAGATTTAAGGAAAATATTTTTTTTTATAACAGCCTCAGAAGAGTTACACAAGAGGGTAATACTCCTTAAATCTCACACTTGTGTTTCATTGTGTGTCACATTTATGGGCATTTACTTGAGCACCACACAACATAATTCAAAATCAGAAAGCCCACAACACAAACTGAGTCAAGCGTATTGAAGTAATCAGAATACAGTCAGTCTGAAATTTTTGCACCTAAAATGAAGAGACGGTAGAAAGAAAAAAGAAACAAAAATTGGATACACCTAGTGTTGAAGGTTGATACATATGGCCAATATAAAAAGAAACAAAAGTAATCTATAATTCCATTATTCCATGCATATATCAAATATACATGTTATCTCACGCAGTAACTTGTTTTAAATTTGATTCTTTTTAATGAAATAGAAAAACACATTGAGTTATCCTGTTAATTTCAGCATGTGACTGGTAGCGGGGTATATTAGGTCAGAAGCTGTTATTCAACTACATTACTCAGTACAGTAGAACATTTAATGCAAGCTAGGAATTGTTTTAGATTAGATTTGATGTTATTTGGATGGGAGAAACGCGTTAAAATCTAAAAGAGACCATTGTTTAAGTTAATAGTAAAGGGCTCCACTCTAACTTTTTCACTACCTTCCCAAAACTCAAAGGGGAACAGCAGCCCTGACAAGGCTGTCTGCAAAATGCCAGATTATTTACTCAGCTGACTGATCAATCTGCCTCTCTGTAGCCCTAACTGCACTGAAATCAGCTTCATTTTATTCATCGATCGTTATTAAAAGGACCCACCTGGCAGTTCATGTTGTCCTCAGCCTCGATGAGCTTTCCCCTGTACACCTCCCCAGTGTTGGTCTCACAGGTCACAATGTGTCCCTCTGCTTCATGTAGCACCTTGATTGGCACGCCGATAGACATCTTCAAACCGTTTACCTGGAAAACAACATGTATTGTAGGAAATGTTACTGTGTGCTGTCCCATAATGAGGTCTCCTGTTTCTGCTTTATGTTAATGAAGCTGCTGAACTGCATTAGCCCTGCAGCTAATCCCTGTCCCAGATGTAGTTACTACTGTTTAAAGTATAACAGAGAGCTCATACATAGTAACCACTGGCCTTAAGTAGGGTGCAGTGTGAGGATGCTACGAGTCAAGCTTTATAAATATCACTCATTTCTCTGTAAAAGCAGAGAAACCTAACCGCTCAGCTAGCTCGATTAGCCACCTGAGCTAAGTAGCTAACGTTGGTCCTTCATACCACAATGCAACGTAGGAGTAAAAACCCAGCTCTTACACATCATTTTGAAGAAACCACTGGTACAAACTATTAAAAACCAAAGCCCGGTGTTACCTAAATACTTCATATAACATTAGCATTTGACTCTTAATTGAGAGTTCGTCCAATACACGGAACCATGAATCGACTGAATGAATGAGCTCCTAAAAACAACATACACAAACACCACTGTTTGTTAAACTAAGCAATGCCGCAGTTTTATCCAGTGTGTTAAGACGGTTACCTTGTTTCTGTCGTAAAAACGGACTTCTTTGTTGTTGTTTCTTCGTCTTCAGCGACTCTGCAACGTGCGTTTGTCGCTTTCGTCTACTTTTGGAGCCTTTTTCCGCCTACCCACAATGCACCGCAATGGGTCAATGAAGTGCTTCCGGTAGCTTCCTGCGGTGCATTGTGGGATTTGTATTTTTCGCTGTTGTGTCCTCTAAGAAATAAAAGAAATCCTGATTTGTTTATGGTTTATTGGTTTGTTTGACGTGTGTGAGGCGCTTGTGGAAAGAGTCTCCCCAGTTTTATTTAATTTATTAATCCTGAAGCTCTGTTTAATATGAATAACAAGGTGAAAGTTGATTACCAAAGCTACACATGTTTTTGTATAGATGTATTCAAGAGAGGACCAAAGTTAAAATGAGAAAAAGAGTGTGTCCATGTATAAATATCAATGCACACCAACAACCTCTGAGGTGGAGCAGGTGAACAATTTTAGGTTCCTGAACATCACAGAGAACCTGTCATCCGTCTGCAGCTGGTTTCACCAACAAGGCCCGGGATCCCCACTGATACTGACTCTTAAACCCCCCCTGTATATATGCATTACATTAATTCCCTTCCGTTATTTATTCATATTGCATATTGCAAATATAATTATATGTCACACTGCTAACTTGCAGAATAAGTATCTGGACATTTTGTACGTATTCTCTCTTCCTTTATATTTGTATATAGTGGCTCCTTTTTATTGTCTCTATTTTTATCTTTTACCTTACCTCTTATGCACCAATGTAAAAGGCAAATTCCAGGTATGTGAAAACTTACTTGGCAATAAACCTGATCCTGATTCTGTTTCCACCCTTGTTAAGGAGGCACAAACAACTGTGTTTCTTAAGGTAACTTAAGAACGCAAGATTCCTGTGCCACGTTCTTGTTAACTATTACAGAGGAGTGACAGAAAGCATCCTGACTGGAAACAACACGGAAGCATGAGATGTGCATAGCGCAGGACAGGAGGACTGCAGCGAGTGATTACAACCACCCAGGAGATCATTCATACCCAACATCAGTGATATTAGTGAGGTGAGGTGCGTGCAGAATACTAAGACTGTACCAACCCCAGCCACAGCCTGTTCACCCTGCTGCCATCTGGGAAGCTTCTACTGCTGTACCACCAGTCTTAAAGACAGCATCTTCCCTCAGGCTGTGAGACTGTAAATTAATCCTCAGCACCCCGTCATGCAAAATAGTATTTTTATTTTGTTTTACGAGTAGCATAAAATAAACTATAATCTAAATTTCATTGTTGTTTATTTCATTGCATAAATGACAAGAAAGTACACTTAAACCTTGAAGCTTGAACATACATTAACATCACAAATGCTATGCATTTAGACTTTTTGTACATAAGGCATTCACTTTTTTATTTTTCTCTCACCAAAGCAACGTTTTTCCCCTAGTTATTAGACACAAGATGTCTTATGTATATCCTTATATTGTATTGTATTGTATATATAGTCATCAGCCTGAGAGAGAATGCAAAGACAATAAACTGTGTTACTGAGTCTCTGCTAATTTGCTTGTTCAGTCTAAAACAAAACAAAAATGTGCATGCTACAGCCCACATAGTCATTTATGACTGAATGGCGTACTATAAAGAGGCCAACTGGATTGTTGTGCTTCAGGACATCATACCTTCATGGACCTTGCTGGAGCCTTGTGTGGCAATAGAACGCAATTGATGGCGTCTGTTAGCTTGATTCATGTATCATCTACAGTCCTTTGTGTATTTGTGGTTTTTGTTTTGTTTTTTATTTTCTATAAATAAGACACTTGTATCACCCATAACTACAGTATTTACATAACCCTTATCTTGTGCAAAATAGCACAAACAAAACAAAGCATTAAAATGAAATGGCTCCATCCAAACCTCAAAGTGTAATATACAACTGATATGCAAAGTTTTTGAATAAACATACATAAGCTAGATACATACCCATGTATGTTTATTCCTGGAGACATGTCTCCGGGATTGCTTTAAGGCACGTAAATGTTGCTTAATGCAGGTCTTTCCCGCAATGGAAGGGCTTTTTAATGAGGAAAGAGAAAGCATAATGGCATAATAAAAGACATCATCAAATGAACCTTCATTTGATTTCCATTGCATTAGGCTCATTGACTGGCGTCAGCAGCCAGGCTACTCTGTAAACACCTCTTGCTGAGTAGTCTGTGGTCATGTGTATGTACTTTACGTGTGTGTGTAAGTGTGTTCTTCATGCTGTCTGTTTGTGCAAGCCTGACTAAAAGTAGCCACACTACAGGTATATGGAGTGATATTTGAATAGGCCAAACACGTTTTTGTTTTGTATGGTTGGTAACTGGCCTGTATACATCAGGTGCCTTTGAACACATATGTTTGACACACGTCACAGTTATTAAACCAGCAACAGACACGTGTTGCCTGGCAGTTATCAAATCACTGATCAAACTAGCAACATCAAATGTGCTGTAGCTATCCAGCCCTTTGAGAAATGCCTTTTTAACAGATCTTTACACAAGAGATGATACACACCTTATGCTTGCCTTCAAACAAAGTTTTCAGAGAGGACTGTTCATGGTTTATTCAGACCATTAGTTACAGCTCTTAAAATGACATACTTTAGTCTGGACACGCTTTACATGTAACAGTATGATCGATGGTTATTATAGTTAGGTTTGTGGTAAAACTGTAAAGTTATTCAGTTTTGTAGCAGAAAATGAAGCACTGAACTAGTAAGTATATATGACTTTTATTTTTCCAGTGGGTAAAAACAATACACATGACCATTACAAAAGTTGACTGGATGCCACATTATCAAAAAAATGCAGTTCAAGAAAGTCTCTTTAAAAAAGCATTGCAAGATACAGTACAGTTCAGAAAGAATTGTTTTCTGCACATTAAGACACAGCCTAAAAAAAGGACATTCATCTTGGAAAAATAACACACTACCACATACAGTATGTCATTGTATTGCTGAAAGTATTTTAAACATCCACATTTTGACAGATTCTGTTGCATGCTTATAGATCTGATCCAACTCAGAGATATTAGATTAGGACAAAGGAAAGCAGGTCAAAATGTTGCCTGGTAATCAGTTTATGTGACTTCAGAAAGATAAAGATTTGCTGTTGTTATTAATTTGAAGTTTCATTAACCAATCTCCATAATGTCATGTTTGCACACAGTTTTATGGTAATAGAAATATATATTTTAAATACTTAAATATCTTTGTCATGAGACTTCAGTAAGCTCTGCACAGCGGACACAGTCAGTCTGTTTTTGGGAGAGAGCCTGAACATTTACAAAAGCAATGCCACTGTCTTTCACCTCCAGAACATCTGTTGTTCCCCTCAGATATGTAACTGATTCTACTCCATCCTGAGCAGCAAATCCCATGATGCATGGCTGCTGCTGCATTGCTGAAAGGTTGCTGCCTTTTATCTGGTGTCCATTGTGTATGCAGCTGCTTGGTGCAGCGGCAACATTTGATGTCCAATGGCAAGAGGCTTCGTGAGTAGCTTTTGGTGGCGTTCGGTCAGGGCTGGGGTCTAGGACGTAGCTATTCACTACTGTGCCACAGGATGAACCCTCTTTACTGGTGTGGGAGGAAGTCCTCATGATACTGCTGCCCCTGACACTTCTGCCATCGCTACTCCCAGCCCCGTGTCCATCCCTCCGCCCTAAAATGTGCTGATACAGGATCCTCCGAAAGGTCTGTCTGAACTCCCGAATGCGATAAGCATAGATGAAGGGATTCACAACAGAATTAGCATGGGAGAGGATGATGGCAATGTTCATCCCCCAGATATGTGTGCGGTCACAGCTCTGACACAGGTAGTTGAAACAGTTCATGATGTGCAGCGGAAGCCAGCATAGAGCAAACAAACCTACAATGATGGCCAGCGATTTGGCAGCATGCACCTCCTTCTGCAGGGTTGAACGAGATGTGCCCGACGATGAGGTTACCTCACCAGGAGCAGGTGTGTGCGCAACTTTGAGTCCCATCAGTCGGAGCTGGCGGCGTGCAGCCATGAAGATATGGGCATAGATGACCAGCATGACAAACAGGGGCACCAGTACGCAGCCGAAGAAATTGAAATAGATCATGTAGTCCATGGTAACCACTTTTTCAAACAGGCACTCTGTCAGGCCTTCAGGGCATTTGTCGCTGCTGGCGGTGGCGTTCCAACCTGCACAACAGAGCCAGGAGTGATTTATTGTCAGGTTTATCTTTTAATAACATCAAACAAATACATTTGTTCCATAGAAGGAAGAATTCCATATGGTAAAACATGTGCATGGCTTGGGTTTCTGACCTCAAATCTAAGAGTTGGCCTCAGTTTTCCTCTGAGCAGTAAGAACCATTTCACTGAATTGAAGCCAATGCGTAACTGCCAGGAGCAATTGTCAATACTAAAGAGAGTATTGTATACCTAGAGCACACTCTAGGTATACAATACTAATGCATTTTCCCCATTTTTTATGTCTTCTACATTTGCATTAGCCAAAAATAAATCTCCCACCTCTGTTCCAGCCCAGCATCGGTGTCAGGCCGATGCCTACTGAGAGAACCCAGCACAATGCGACGATGCCCTTTGCCCTCTGCCCTGTCACCAGGCTGTTGTACCTGAAAGGTGGATCAGAGCACAATAATACATTAGGGCTAGTTGTTTTATCTAATCTCAGTGTGATAGTAACCCTCTGAGGAAAAGTCAATATTTGGTGATTTAAATGATGAGACTATGGTTGTGCATACAAGCTTAAATGCATTATATATTTAATAAGCCAAAGGAAGTTTTCAGTTGTTCCACTGAAGAGTTTTTTGTTGTTGCATTACTGGCTTTTAAATACAAACAACTCATATGTTTTCATCCCAGCGCATCAGATGACTTTGTTTGGCAAAGGTACCCTTTTGTACAGTATGTTCTTCCTTCCTGTTAGAAGAGCAGAAGACAGAGTGAAATCTTGCCATGTGTTGCTGCATGACTCTACAAACTCATGACTCTACTTGTTGAGTGAGTGTGCCTAAATATGCAATGAAGAGGATTTCCTTCCTATACTGTATTTTACCAGCACACTACTTTCTCATCTAAGTTCTGACGTTAACTCAAAGCGCTGAAGATTTTGAAGAATCCAGTCAGGTCATAAAAGAGCTTCTGAGCAATGCAGTGAAATACGAACATGAGGACTGGAATCTTCAAACACATAATAGTAGTAGTAGATGTAAGCTTTACTATATACTGTTTGATGGCTTGTAACTTAACTCGGCTTGGGCTTGGATTCAGAAAAATATTGGCTGAATACCATACCTATCGACATAGGTTAGGAAGTGTGATTTACACTGAAACCACTGATAGAATTGTGTTATCTTGAATATACAATTCTCTACATTCTTAGGTCTGACATACATACAGCTGGACCTCACCAACATTTCAATTTCCTGTTTTCATAACTATTGCTGCATCCTAAAATGTTTGGGTATTTTTGAAAACTGTGTAGTAGTACTAATGTGCACATTACTTAATGCAGACATATGGACTGCACAAATTTGAAGTAATAAAAATAGAAAATTATCATGAATAACTAGTATTCTTGGTAACATCAGCTCACCTACAACCAATGTCCCATGTGACTGAGATCTTTCATGACCAGGGTGGCAGCCAGTAGGCTATATTACCCTCTTAAAACCGATGAATGATTGAATGATTGATGAATTATGGGCTCTCTGGCCACAATCATGGCACCAGTGGGAGCACAAAAACACACAAAGAGAATCTGTTATGCAACTGCTTATGCAAATGTGTCACCTGTTGTGGCTTACTAGATGAACTAGCCTCCCATGACAGGAGTTAAGAAGGCAATATGAGTCAATAGTGTGTCAAAATACCTGTGTAGGCTGCAAAATGTGTTAGCCATTTGAAAGAATAGTATTTGAATGGTGTTGATTTACATGGATAAAAATGATCAAAGCCTTCAGCAGCACACAAACTGTAACCCAATAAAGCCTGTGGTGATATATATCCATGTCTGCCCACAGCCGGCCAGTTTAGCCCTAATTGAATAAGATCTCTCTATAATTCAATGGGTTTTGCTGCACCACTGCATATGTGCCATGCTTTGGACGCCACTAACGTTTAATGGTTTACCCACACTATCCCGATATGAGCGTCACGTGTGAACAGAGCATCACGTTCAAAATGCAAGTATATTGGGAAGGTACACAGTACAAAAAAACAACTTTTTTAATTAAAAAATGTAGCTGTCATTTCCCAGAAAGATTTGGACAGTCTGAAAACAAACTGAATTTGGTTAAATTGAGAACATGGAAAGCCTTCTCTGTCATATTTCAGTACATCCTCACCTGAGTGGGTTCTCGATAGCGATGTAACGGTCTACGGCGATGGCCAGCAGGCTGAAGATGGAGCTCTGGGTGAGTATGAGTACGAAGCAGGCGATGAACAGGCAGCCAAAGAAGTTGGCGCAGAAGCCGGTGCTTATTGTTGTTGTTGATTGGCGAGAAAATATCTCAGGTGATTAAAAACTCAATATTATGCATTCTAACAAATTCTGATAAAAAAGGACATGAAATTATATAACAAATGTAATGATACCTAATAGTGATAGCGAAGGGAATTGCCAGCAGCCCCACAGCAATATCAGCCACCGCCAGTGACACCACAAAGAAGTTGGTGATGCTCTGCAGGTTGGAGTTGAGGCAGACGGCCCAGCAGACCAGGATGTTCCCAGCCACAGCCAGGCAAGCGATCACCAGCTCTAAGCCAATATAAACCAGCTGCTGATTCATCAGCATGGTTATTCTTTCCTCTGTTTTGCTTTCTTTGCGCTTTCATCCCACACACTCAGCTGCTTGACATGTTTTTAGACAAAATACCTGCCTGCCAAACCGCATGGTACAACTTAAGGGAACAATGATCGTGTCATGGGAGGACAGCCAAGGCAGGAAGTTCCCACCACAAACATCACTTTTGTGTTGCCTGACCTATCTCGTACCTTTCCCTGCCGCACATACAGTACACGTCTGTCAGTCTTCCTCTTTGTCTCTGCAACTGTCTTCGTCTCTGTAACTTTTGTCACAGACAGCAGCCAAATATAGAGGAGGAAGCGCCTCTGAGTTTTGCCCGATGGCTGCCAAATCAGTCTAGAGAGAAAAAGAGAGAGAGCACAGTCTCAATAGTATAGCCTGAACAAACAGATCGCAGGTTACCACATAGACACACACAGAAAAGCCATCTATCTCTAGAAGACAGGGGGACAGTTTGTTAGGGCCAAAGCAGACAGTCCAACAATGCACCTTTTATTTCAGGAAAAGTTTCCCAAAAACCTTCCACATACTAATCATTCCCACTACTGGCATGCTTTCCCCAAAATACACCACTATAAATTTCAAAGCCATTGTTAAACTATCTTTGCTGCATTTTTTTAAGGGTATTTTGCTAAATTCCTTTATACTGTCAGGAGATTAGGGTAAATTATTACAAACAGTGGGACTACAACCTTAGATAACCTTCATATAATGTAGGCCAAGTTATTGAGATTACTAGGGTATAATTCATACAATACAATTTAAGAACAATTCAGGGGAGTGAGAAAGAAAGAAGGACAGGTTTCTAGATCGTGTCGGATAATAATAAGCAAGGCTGCATCCATACTATATATGAGTTAATTAGAAATAATTAGAATTATCTTTGAATTACAGCAAAGAACTAAAGTTGCTGTGGAAGCCTGAAGTGACTTTGCATGAGACATTGCTTAAGTTGAGACATTTGCCTTTTAGCTTCTCTAAACAATACTGGGCTTATTCTGTTGAATTTCAACACTGGTATGACCCATCACGCTTAGTTATTTCCTTAGTGTTAGTATTATATTAAGGTTGGTGGATTAATACAGACATAGAGCCAGGAGGCTGTATTTAGTTTAGTTTAGCATAAAGACTGGAAGCAGGAGGAAACAGATAGCCTGGTTCTGTGCCTATCAGCTCTGTCAAAAGCTTACTTATTAACACATTTCATATAATTTGTTTATTTTATTTATCCAAGCACAAACTAAAATGTAAAAGCGATAAGTTGTGGTTTCACGGGGAGTTACATGCTGTAATGGCAACCTTTATTGTGGATCTTATCTAATTTAAAAACATGAATACATTTAGAAATAAGAAATACAAAAATGCTGAACTATTTATGAACTATATTGAAAAATTACAATCTGCTAACATTATTGGTATTAAAAATATTGATATGTTGGCTTCAGAAACACAATATTGGCCAGTATCGACATCTTAAATGGGCTGCTGTATGTTCACCCACCAGACTATATGGCATACATTTCATCATGTTGGTTGAATCACAATTACACATATAAAACCTGTAAATATTTACTTTATTTATTTCCTGCCAATGAATAGTAAGATTTGACAAGATAAGGTTCAACAAGATAAATGTATGAATGACAAACAAATGATCCTGTAACAACAAAGGGGAAACTTGGTCACTGGGAGCAATGCTGGGACCATTCTCACCTATTTTAGGTGCTTTACGTCAGAATACCTCAGAGAATAGGAGCTCCTGATCCAATTTTCATTCAATCACACGGATTCCCATCCTTGTTTTTTTCCTACTTAATGCAGATTAGGCGACACTGGTACTTCACATGTCTTTACTCTTATTAATTACTCTTGCAGCTCATGAGGATGGTCACTGACCTTCTCTCTACTACTCTACTACTAGCTGAAACTGATGGCCTAAAATCCTGAGCATGTCAAATGGCAGATTCTTAACCTCCAATCAGCTTTGAAGTCGATGTAACTTAGTATCACAAAAGCTGTAATAATTATAATTGTTAAATTACTTAAGTTAAGTTTCAGTTCTGTGTAATTCACTTATTGGGGAATTTCCCATCGGGTAATATCAAACCACACACATTTTGAGGATGGCAACTCATATTTCTGTTCACAGTTCTTCTAAAACTTAATAGTTCTTGATTTGAACGTAGAAGACTTGCCGGTGCCAGTGTTGAAAATATAAAGAGAACAGAAAAAAACAACCGTTTGTTTCCTTTCCACACATTCATGAAAGCTGTCACACATAGTTCTTTCCCTAATCTACCTCCGTTGACCACATATAACCCTGTAGCTTTACCAGCACTGATCCTGATTGACAGAACTTCGGACCAAAGTCCTACTTTTTCTCCATTGTTCTGCTACTGAAACCTCACAGGCCAAAGGAATTTAAAAAGCAGGTTTTATCCAGAGGGTTTGGAAAGCTACAGAAAATTGTAAAGACCTTTAGTTTTTTAAGACCTCAAGAGGCTGCAAATGTTTCTGAACCTGCACAAGAAAAGGAATTCTTCAAAGTTAATGTGAAAAGAAAACACAGTTGAACTTACATAGCTTTTCCCCAACAATGACGTTTATAGGCTATACGATAAGCCAACATTCTTCCAGTTGGCTGCTTTGGCAAAAATACTCCCTATGATGATTATGAAAAGTTATATGTGCCCAGAGGTCTTGGAGGAAGTGATAAGAAAAAGGACATCCTGCTGGAGGGGATCTGTCTCTGCCCCGTCAATCAATGTGCCAGTCCAGCACCACCAAAGTCAAAGGAAAACAAAAATAAAATCTAGTGGGCAAAGCACTGTGTGTACAGGTAATAAGGGAAGTACTGATACCATTTTTGTGAACTCCTGATAGCAGGAAGAGAGACATAAACATGATCTGAGTCAATCAGTCTGCACTTCAGGGCAAGTTATGCGTTTGGTGTAATGATGGAAAATAAGGCTTCATTACCACTGCATTATTTTAAGTTCATCTCATTAAGGCATCTAATTCATTCAATCAATTAATTGCCATAAAAAATCCCCAATCCTAATACAGTGAGAGCTTCGATGACAACCAATAACTGATATTGTTTGAGTGTGCCTTTGGTTAATTTATAAAACACAGTCCTTATGCTATACCTGTTACCACTCCTGTTAAAAAGGGTCCAAAGGTTAATTGACATACAAACATTACAATTTTAACTATAAAACAGCCTGAACAAGCAGAAAACAATCCCTTTTCTTACCTTACTGTGAGTGTGAGAATAATAAGTCTTTCCACCCAACCAACGTGTTCAGGTGATCAGGCTGGCAGCGAACATTGAGGGCAAAATAAACGGGTGGTTGAGCTCACAAACTTGAATGCAGAGAAAAACCGTGAGAAAAAAGAAAAGCAAAGATGTAAATCCTCTGTTATGTTACCGCTGCTCATGCTCAGTAGAAGTTTCAAGCTGCGACAGTCCCCAACAGGAAAAAGCGCGGCCGCAGGCGCACCGCCTCACCCTCTCGCTCTCTCTCTCT